GAATGTGTGGGGGCAGGCGGGCGTGTGTGGGCCTGCGGGGTGCTGCTCTGTGTGGGCGTGTTTTGCGGGCCCCGAGACGGGTGCGTGGTGCGGGGCGGTAGAGGCTTCAGTGCCGCAGCTGGAGGAGGGTCAGGCGGACACAGGACCGTCCCAGGCTCACCCACCACCGGGATCAGCCAGGACCCAGAGGGGCCCTCATGCGGTAAGTGACACCAACTCACCCCCGACACGTGGCAGGGCCCGGGCAGGCAGCCTCTGTCCCAGACCCACCACTTGCCAACTGTGCCCTTCGCCAGAAGCATGGCGCCCGGCCTCGTGCACGGAAGTAGGTGTGGAGTCCTGGGGCCGACAGGCCGGTGTGGCCTGGGGGGTTGGAGGGCTTCCCCAGCCGCTTCATCCCTTTTCCAGACAAGATCCTTCCTGGGCTCCTCCCCCGGCCTCAGGAGGCAGGTCCCAGCAGGATGAGCCCAGTAGGTCCCGATGGGTCCTGGGATGGAGTGGTCCTGTCCTTCAGGGTTCTTGCCTCTGTCCCACATGCCCTGTGACCTTGCTGGACCCAAAGCACCCTCGTCTCCATCCTCAGAGGAGGTGAGGGCTGGCACAAAGGAGGCAGGAGTGGGGACAGTCACTCCAGGGAGCCCTAGGCACTGGGTTCCTGGCCTCCTGCTGAGAAGTCTCCAGCCTCCCACCGGCCATAATGGGGCTGAGATGGGGTGGGCATCTCCCTGGTCCTTCCATGCCATTCCTGGACTCTGGTTTGCCAACCTGCCCGCCTCCCTCCTGAGCTGCACCCCGGCCCTCTTGGCCAGCTGGGGCCAGTTCTCACCTCCACCCCGTCTGGCACGAGAGAAAACTGGCCCAGGTTGATGAGTGGGAGTGTGAGGGTCAGCCAGGCCAGGGGGAATCAGGACGGAGTGAGCCAGGAGTGGGACTCCCGACATCAGGCCTGTGGCGTCGCTTTCCCCCCGTGTCCCTACACATAGCACCTGGGGCCTTAGAGAGGCCCCCCAGCTCCGTGCCTGGGCACTGCCCCTAACACTCCGACCCTTCTCCACGAAGAGACGCAGCCCCTGGGAGCACTACCGGCTGGCAGAGCGATGCCTCACAACTCCAGCCACGGGGTCGGCGTGGTCCGTGGGGGTAAGCACCTCTTGCCCCACATTTGGGCACTGGGCAGGATGGAAGTAGCCAAGGTAGGTAAGTCACACACAAGGTCGGTCGTGGGCTCTGGAGTTCTTGTCCGCGGTGCCTGCACAGGATTGTGGGAGCAGCTGGCCTCCAGGCAGAAGGAAGGAAGCAGCAGCATTTACGTGCCTTCCGGTTCAGCTTCATTTTGCGAAACGTGTACAAGGTGTCCTGTGCACGGAGGCCCTATGGAGACCGCCATGAATCAAGGCGGCTGGGAAGACAGGACACACAGGTCAGGCCACAGGAGACAGAAGAGGTGCAACTAGAGGCAGAAACGGGGAAAACCAGGAGAGGTCCTGGAAGCTTCCCACATAGATCCCTTCCAGGTGGACAGGCAGGGAAGGCGGAACAGCAAGTGCAGGCACCTGGGAGGCCCGGAGAAGGAAGGGCAGCTCTGGGAAGGGTGGTGAGCAAAGGGAGGCTATGGGAGATGAGCAGGGGAAACGGCCAGTCCGCTCTGGATGCTGTGCTTTGAGCTTTTATTATAATTTTAGTTTTACCTGAAATTTACCATTCTATTCGAGGTTCTTAAATTGCATTTTTTGAAAATGTATTTTTATTGATTTCAGAGAGGGAGAGGAGAGAGAGAGAGAGAGAGAGAGAGAAACAGAAACATCAGTGATGAGAGAGAATCATGGATTGCCTGCTTCCTGCACACCCCCAACCGGGGGTCGCACCCACAATCCAGGCATGTGCCTGGGGATTAAACCGTGACCTCCTGATTCATAGGTTGATGCTCAACCACTGAGCCACACTGTCCAGGCATGTATGAGCTTTTGACTACAGAGGAGGGACTGTATTTCAAATCTTTTGGCAGCCAAGTCTAGGTGAGGCCGCCCAGGGACCTAGCCTGGGTTCCTTGCCCCTGACCCGGTCCCTCCTTCCGCAGATAAGACCTGGAAGGAGCAGGACAGGGACAGGGAAGGAGCGTGGAGAGGCGAAGCAGGCGGCCTGGCCTGGAATGCCTCCTCCCCATTCCCTCCTGAGTCTCCAGGGGCCGCAGGCAGCAGCATCCCTGTCTACTGTGCCCTCCTGGCCACCGTGGTCCTCGGTCTGCTTGCCTACGTGGCCTTCAAGTGGTAGGTGGCCTGGGGACTGCCCTGTGGGACCCCTTCCCGTCTGGACTCCCAGCCAGCTCCCCGTCTCAGTGAAGGTCGGAGCTGGTTGGCAGGGCCCTTGCTCCCACAGCTGGCGCTCCCATCAACAAAGACAGCAGCTGGCCAAAGCTCGGGCTGCAGAGCTGGGCGTCCTCGACAGGGACCCGAGGCACGGGGAGAGCAGTGTCTTCCTGGACTCTCCGAGCTGCCTGGCGCCCTGTGCCCTCAGCCAGGGTGAGTCCCTTTCCCTGGGGAGCAGGGACCTAGCTCTGCCCGCCGCCCAGCCCATCTGACCCTTGTGTCTCCCACCCAGGGCCCCATCCGGAGCTCGGCCGCCGGCTTTACCTCCATCTCCCTCAGCAGCAGCAAGAGGAAGTGGAGCGGCTCCTGGGAGTGTCGGGCGACCTCGACAAGGGCTGGCAGGGCCTGGCAGGCCGCCTGGGCTACCAGACGGAGGCTGTGGAGACCATGGCCCAGGGCCAGGCGCCTGCCTGCGCCCTGCTGAGGGACTGGGCTGTCCAGGGAGGCAGTGGCGCTACCCTCAGGGTGCTGGAGGACGCCCTGGCCGCCATGGGCCGTGAAGACGTGGTCCGGGTCCTGGGCCTCCCGCCTGAGGGCTGCTCTGTGGTGTGAGCTAGGCCCCCCACAGCCTGGCCTCGTGGGGTGCAGCCCTGTGCTCCCTACCACGCCCTCTCCCATGCCCTTCCTTTCATGGGCTTCCTGGCCTGGGTGGGCCCAGCCTGCTCCGTTCTGGAGGGACTCAGAAGGTGCAGCCACCACCCCCCTCCCCTGGCCCCATGTCCCTCTGAGACAGAGACCAGGATCTGGGGGAGCGGCCTGCCCTCCTGCTCCCTGTCCCCTTCCCTTCCTTGGCCTGAACTGTTTTTCTACTTTTGTATCCATAGTAAAGGCAGCTCGGTTACTGCGCAGGCTCTGTCTGACTCCGTGGGCCTGTGAGGCAGCGGGTGGCTAGGACGGGGTCCTGAGTTATGCGAGGAACCTGGGCTGCAGGCCGCGTGCTCCCGTGCAGGAGGCAGGAGCTGTGGGGCTCGGCGCTGAGTTCGCCTCCTGCACCTGCCGTGCCCGGGCGGGGTCGTGCTGGAGCTGTTACTTTCTCAACTCTAGCCTCCTCCGCCGGAGAACAGGGAGGAG